AAGCTTGGAGGCTCCCTGTGGCACCCCTTGATTCCTTCCCCCTCCTGGAAATGAGGTGGCTGTGCTTGATGAATGGGGACCTGTGGACCTTGGACCAAGGGGCCAGGTGTCTACCCAGTACAGTTCCTGTCAACAGGGCTTCGGTGCCGCCGAGCCAGCTCCCAAGTCAGGGAGGCAGCGCGAGGCAGTGACAAGGTCGGAGCTCGGAGTTGGGCAGAAGTGGACGCTGAGTGGGATCATCTGGCTGCCTGAACCAACTCCTCCTCTTCAAGAAACCAGCCTTCTGCCTCTGTTCCAATCCCCCAGATTAAAAAGTCCTGCTGCACTCCACCCACTGCCGCCCCCCAGGAGACCAAGGCCAGAGTCCTCCAAGTCCTTGTTGAATCTGCATTTGAATCAGCTGGTGGACACTCCCAGGTGAGGACTGGAGGCCAGCGAGGACAAGGAAGACTTCCTGGAGGAGGAGGGGGTGTGCACCTAGGAGTGAGGAGGAGGGTCTCGGGACAGTTCTGATGGCCTCTGAGTCCCTTCCCTCCGGGGTTGCCTGGGAGCTCTGCCTCCTGCCCTCCCCCTCCCGCACTTCTCCAAGGCCGCGGGCTAATTGGCTATGACAGCAGGAGCCTGCGGCAGCTGAGAGGTGTCACCGGGAATTAGGCACTGAGCCCTCAATAGCAAATTACTGTCAGGGTTCCGTGGGTGTGGGTCCGGCAGGGGTGTGCCTGTGTGTGTCCCCGCCTGCTCCCTGTGTTGGCACATGAGTCTGCATGTGTGCCCGGTTCTGTATGTTGGCACGTGTCCACAGGTGTGTCCCTTGTGCCTGGTCCCAGTGTGTGAGCACAACCGGTCTCAGTGCTGTCTGCATCCCTGTGTGTGCGTGTGAGAGAGTGCACGTGTGTGTCTGTGTCCACGTGGAAGGTGCGCTGGGTCTCAGATTGTGTCGGCACGTGTCCCTGTGCAGTTAGGACCCTCCAGGACACCCCTCACTTGTCTGAGGGACACCAGCGTGCAGAGCCCGCCTCCCTAGTCCTCTTGGCTTGGTGGCATGGACTGTGGCTGTCACTAGAGGCTTGGGTGCATGGGACAGCTGCTTGGGGGCTGCGGGGTGGGGACCCTGCTCCAGATCTGCCAGATGAACCTAAGCTGGAGTCACTCATGGGGCGGGTAGCTGCTGAGGACAAAAGGGGGGAACTGGGAGCAGGCTGTCCCACCTGGGGGCCAGTGCACAGGGACCCCCAGGCAGAAGCAGAAGTGGTGGGCAGCCTCCTTGGATGGGGTGCAGGTGGAAGTGAGGGTTCCACTCTGTATCTCACTTGTAAGCACCCCAGGTTCCAACATAAACCCCAAGGTAGAGTGATTGCGTGGGGTGATTGCCAGACAGGCAAACACTGTCACTGCTGCTGAAGAGGCCACTTTCAGGGGACCAGTGTGTGAGCATGATAGAGCCGTGGGCGTGCAGG